TTGTTTCCTTGTAAGTAGATATTTTTTACTGAACATATTTCCTTTATTTAAAGTAAATTCAGCATTTTGCTTCCTTCTGCTGGTTTGCTAGATTCTCGGTCACGTATGGAAATTCATATCGGCTTTCCTAGTGGCTTTCTGAGAATGAGTAGAAGGGCACATGCATAACGAAAGGAGGAATATTCCTATTAATATATTTTGACAATTAACATATATTCAGACGGTAAAGTAATTAATGCTTACTTTGACACGTTTTGGTCAAGATCTATCATTGTTATTTGATAATAGGTATTGTATTGGATGCAATTGTACAATATTGCACTAATTTGTAATAAGTACCATTTATTATATATTTAAATTTAGGATACATATAAGTATAAGACTATATTATAGTGATTAACCACCATCACATGTTTGTATATTGTAGGTTTTTTTACATTATTTTAAGAATATAGAGAAATACATTGGCCACTGATATTATTTTTCGACAGTGGCAACCCTGTACACATAGTATCTAACATAATTTTATTGTATTCCTAACCTTAAAAAATTAGCGACATATCTATCAGGTGGTGTGCTGTATATCAACCTTTTTAAAGACAGCCAGTATTAGAAGAAAGTATATTACAGAAGGTAAGTTTTGGTTAAATAAAATTGATCGTTATAAGTTATTCCATTATATTTAAAATGAGTAAATTTGAGTCAATAATTATATGAATGTGCTTTCTTTTCATTAAATTATCTATGCCAATCTCTGGGTACAATTTTTTAATATTAGACACTTATTGATCATCTGTCCATTAACTGTAAAAATACATTATATTGATAAAATTGTACGTTTAGTTTAATTTTGTCCAATGTTAAGTTTTATTTTGTCCAATGAGGAGGAAACTATAGAGAAAAATGGATATTGACAAGTTCTTCGGCCACTTTAGTTGTTTCAGAATGAGATTTTCGTCAATGTTTTTTTTTTGGTCGAGAAATATTTTTAAAAAAGGAATATTTAAAAATTTAGATTACATACTGCAAGACCCCATTAGAATTTTTAATGGGATGAAACGTGTTTTTATCTGGGCCTAATATCAATTTTTTTTTTAATAATAACGACTAAAGAAAAATTTGAACCAGTACTGAAAGATGTCAAAGAAGACTACACAAAAGCTGAAACTATAAAAAAAGGTTTTCAGTCAAGTGGATTATATCCATGGAACGCATCAAGTATTCTTCTTCTTCTTTAAGTGCCTCCCCTATCGGAGATTGGATATCATTAGGGCGATTCTAATTTTATTTACTGCTATACGTTTTAAATAATTCGTTAGTGGTAGAGCCAAACCACTCTCTTAAATTTCTCATCCAGGATATTGTTCTACGGCCTGGATTTCTGCGTCCTTGGATTTTTTTTGCATTGGATATATTTTGTAGGATGTGAACTTTTGTCCTCTCATCAGGTGGCCTAAGTATTCAAGTTTTCTCTTTTTTATATTTGGTATAACTTCTGGATCGTTATTTATTCTGCGTATACCTCTCCATTTGTAATTTTATTCACTCAACTTATTTTTAGTATACGGCGGTAGCACCACATCTTAAAGCTTTCAAGATTTTTAACACGGTGCCTCAACACCGTTGTTTCCGTTTTAACATTCTAGTTCGTAGATGAATACTAATATCACGATTACAAACTAATTTTTTCCTTTTTATAAAATGGCAAATTTCAATACGTCTGTTTATCTCGTGATTTTGGTCACCTGTTTCATTGATGAGGGTTCCCAAGTATTTGTATTCGCTTACTTTTTCGAGTTGGGTAGGTACCGTTAATTGCGATACTAATGTCATGTATTGGAATCTTACTGAAGGTCATATATTTGGTTTTTAGACGTTCATCTTTATGCCGTAGTTATTACATATTTTATTCATACTTTCAACTAGATGTTGTGGATCTTCCGCATGTTTTTGCTATTATCACAGTATCGTCGGCATATTTAATGTTATTGAAAACTTCTTAATTGACTATTATCCCTTCGTTTGCATGTGAGAGAACTTCTTGGCATATTTTGTTCTCTGTAGATATTAAACAAGAGCGGTGACAATATACAACCCTGTCGTACTCCTTTACGTATTTCTATTTCGTCCGATGTTTGGTCTTCTATTTTTATATTAGCTTGCTGATTCCAGTACAAATTTAATATTATTTGTATGTCTCTGGTGTCGATGTTCTTACCCTCCAGGATTTCTTTGAGTTTATTGTGGCGGACTTTGTCAAAGGACTTTTCAAAGTCTATAAATCAGGCGTGTACCTCTTGGTTAACATCTAGACATCTCTGTGCTAGGACGTTTAAGGCAAAGAGAGCTTCTCTTGTACCTAATCCTTCTCTGAATCCCATCTGTGTATTGTTAATATCGATATCTAACTTTTGATAGATTCGGTTGTTGATGACTCTAAGAAATATTTTAATTAGATCACTCATCAAAAAGATTGTTCGATGATCTGAACATTGCATTGCCTTGGTTTTCTTCGGTATGGCGACAAACGTAGACAGCAACCATTCTTGAGGTATTATACCAGTATTGTATATTGTATTGAATTTAGGTATAGACTTTACCAAATGTCTGGGAACAAAAAAAGAGGACTAAAATGTACTGCGGAAAAAATTTCACACAATATCCGGTTATCTATTTCAATCAATTTAAGAAAATGATTGGTGAAGAGAGAATAGCAATATTTAAAAAAATTTATCAGTTTGACAAAGCAAGTCATGATGAGTGTATCTTGTATAAATTATATAAAAAGTATGAAAAGAGCAATAATCATTTGTATATGGAAATTCGTAACGATTCAGTACACCTAAAAATCAATAGATCAGTGAACACAAAAATAGAAAATATGGAAACTATATTCGAGACAGGTGAAAAATTACAAGAATATGTAGCACAGGAAGGGCATGTAGAAGAATTACTAATATATTAAAATGAAAAAGAAAATTATCAGCTTTAACACGAAACTATTCAGGTCCTAATCATTTGTTAAGTATTACCACTTAACAAAATTAAAACAAAAGGGAATATTATGCCCATTCTGATATCTGATTTTGTCCCACTTTGCTGCTGATAGGATTTAGCTATGATAAAATACACCTGTGTCACTGCTCCTACTGTCTATTGGTTTCAGGGATGGGATGACAAATAGTTACTATAGTGGCATAAAACTGCATAATTATATATATATAATCTGTTTAAAACGTCCTCCGACGTCTTCCGATGCCCAATCTCCATGCATCTCTATCTTCCCAAAGATCTTCGTCTAAACCTCTCTCTCGGATCTCTCTGTCTATTCCTTCTCTCCAGCTCTTTCTGGGTCGGCCTCTTTTTCTCTTTCCATGTGGTGACCAATCTATAATCTGTTTGGGCAGACGATGTTCTGGCATTCTCTGCACATGTCCATACCACTTTAGTTGTTGTACTCTTATATCTTCGACAATCGTATGTGTGACTCCCATAACCTCTCGTATACGTTCGTTATTAATTCTTTCGAGTTTTGATTTTCCTGCGGCCCGTCTCCAGTAGTCCATCTCCGTGGCTTGTAGTGTTCTTTCAGTAGTTGCCTTTAACTGCCACACGTCACTTCCATACATTACTATGCTCTTTATAATAGTGTTGTATATTCGATGTTTATTTTTTTTTTGGATATATGTTGATCCCAGATAATACTATTTAGTTGAGATATGGCCCTTCTACCCTGAGTGTTTCGTTTTTTTATAGCCTGATCTGATTTGCCGTCGTCTGTGATTTCTACTCCTAAATAGGAATATTTATTGTTGTACTTAATGTGTTGTCCGTCGTTTAAAACTAGATTTTGTTCTTTACCACCGATGTTCATGTACATTGTTTTATCTATGTTGACTTCTAATCCCCATTTTTTGTATTCTTCGATTAATTTTCGAGTCATGTATTCTAGGTCGTCATATTCGTTAGCAATCACAATTTGATCATCAGCAAAACATAGAGTGTACAGGTTGTTATTGTTTAATTGTATACCTATGCCGCTGCATTTCCGCTTCCAGAGTTTTAATGCTTGTTCCAGATATATTTTGAAAAGTGTCGGCGCTAAGCAGCATCCCTGCTTCAGTCCTTTGTCTACTACAAAACCTTTGGAAACATTCGTTCCTATTTTAACTTTGGCGTTGGCGTTCTCATATAGTTTTTCCACTGCTGTTATGAGATTTGAGTTGATGTTCGTTTGTCTGAGAGTGTTCCATAACTTATTTTGAGGGATGCTATCGTAGGCCTTTTTTAGATCAACAAACAAAAAGTGGACTTCTTGATCTACAGCAACCTTTTTTTCTATAAGTTGGGTGATACAAAAAAGGTGGTCTATGGTCGATCTACCAGCTCTAAAACCCGACTGTTCTTCTGCCTCCATATCAGTGTATTCTCTTTCTATTCTATTTTTGATCATTTTCCCATAGATTTTACTAATAGTAACTACTAGTAACTGCTATTCCACGGTAGTTGTCGCAATTTTGTTTGTTTTCCTTTTTATGTAAAGTTGAAATGGTTGAGGTTTTAAATTCGGCTGAAACCTCTACTTTGTTTATGCAGTTTTGAAAGAGTATTGTCAAATGCTCATATAGTTTTTCAGTTCCATATTTTATCAGTTCTGAGGGTATATTGCCAGGTCCGGGCGCTTTTTTATTTTTGAGTGAAATACAGATATCCCTTACTTCCTTTTTCGTGATTCTTATAGGAGATGCTTCAACGCGTATGTTTTGGTTACTTTCTTTTATTTTGAATTCCATTCGGTCTTCTTGTAACAGTTTACTGCAGTACATGTCCCATGTTTCTAACGAAATTGGTGAGATTAAATTTTTTTTTCTTGACGTTGGTCCTAAGAGATTTAATAAGTTTCCAGCTTTCTGTACTTCTAGTTCCTCCTATGTACGTATTTAATTTTTGACAGTTTTGATCCAGGATTCATTTTTTTTCTGTCTTATCATTTGTCTCACCTTAGCTTGATGGTTTTTGTAATCAGACCAATTTGTATCTGTTGTTGCACTTAAATATTGTTCATACTTTTGTTTCTTTTGTTTTATCGCTGTGTCTATTTCTTCATCCCACCAGTATGGAGTATTTTTGTTTTTCTTTTCGTAATATCCAAGCGCTTCTTTTGCTGCAGAGTGAATACTTTCTTTAATGTAATTGTAGTGGTCTTCGATGTTATTAAAATTTATGTTTTCAAAACTGCATAATTACAGCAACAAAATAAAAGCAATAATAACTAATAGACTAGGAAGCTAAAATATCCAACAATCATTATGCATTTTTTTTATTAACAAGCATCCATTGGACGGGTGTATATACAAAGCATTAAACATTAATACGGTATTAACTTTGATATTGCTTGTTGAGCTACTTCAAGAGATTTTATAGATCTGCCTATTTTCTAATCACATTTACCTTAAACATAAAAATAAAAAATATAAGGTAAATATGGCTTTACTTACGAGGTAGTTAACTAAAGGAATAAATATAGGTCCTAACATCCCTATAACCGAACTAAGACTCATTCCCAATCCCCTTACTACGGTGGGATAAAGTTCGGACGCCATCAAAGGTAGCACAACAAAAGACGAAGATATACCCATTTTACCTACACAATATAGGGCCAGTGTAGTAACATAATCTAAAAAAAAATAATAAGAATAATTATATAATTTTTATATAAAAGAAAAAGTGAATAAGCTGAATAAATTTTATTTAACTTCTTAAATCTTATTTTGTTTATTTTTGCACCTATTGAAACATTTCCTATCTAAGTTAATATTTAAATATATTAGGACATAATTATATTGTGGTCTATTTAAAAGCTAACTATTATTTTACACGAATATACATAGACAATAGCAGTTTTTTGCCTTATCACATTTCAGAGACATGCTAGACTAAAGAGTCAGATATTGCCTATGTAAACTATGTTCAGAATTTGTTTTAATAATTTTTTTTTAATTGCAAAAATAAACTTTTCCATTTCGGATAATTTATCGTTTAACCTTACGGCTTAGGTTAGTGTCAGAGTTTTCAGTTGTAGCCATAGTAGATGGAATTACGTGTCCTCCGAAGCATGGTGACAGCTAAGTTAAATTATAAATTAAAAAAATTGTCAGTGCCGGGAATCAAAAACGACCCTTTACTTTACTTTTTCGAGTCTGGATCCAACTACCACCTGCTGGTTACGGTACGTTGATGACATCTTTGTCATTTGGCTCCATGGTAAAGATACATTATACATATTCCTCTTCCACCTGAATAGAATACATCCCAGTACTTAATTCACGATGGAAGGTAAGTCTAATGCGTCATCTTTATCTAAAAATCGTTCTACCTTTTATTCAAGGTGTCAATAATTATATCAGTAGAACTCTTAACCCTCTAAACATCAAAACCATCTTCACTACTCACTCCAAGTTGCCCAATCTCGTCAGATCTGCAAAAGACCAACTACTCAATGAAGACCATGGTGTACACGAGATACATTGTTCCAGTTGTCCATGTACATACATAGGACAGACACCGACGAATCCATAGCTGTGATTTTTTGGATTTGACTCCACGTTGAATAATTTTGGTTTTGAAAAAAACCATTATTTTGACTACGTTTTAGCAACGCTAGTAACGCTTTTTCCTGGTGCTTGAAGTTAAGTTGTTAACTTCAGCTAATTGAAGTTAACTTAAGCTTAACCTCAAGCACCAGCAAGAAGCGCTACTACCTGACTTGACAATGGCGAGTGCGATCTTGCCGAAACGTCGTCAAAATAATGGTTTTTATGAAAACCAAAATTATTCAACGCAGAGTCAAACTCGGAAAAACACAGAAAGCATATATATATATATATATATATTATATATATATATATATATATATATATATATATATATAATATATTTTGAGTTTCTCGAACCGTATTATATTTAATATAAAAATTAATGTTTCTTGGGTTTAGGTTCAATAAAGATATGTTACATTTGGAACTAGATTTTTTTCTTTCGATTGCAATCAATCAAAGTTTCGGCAGGAAACTCTTGCCTTTGTCAAGATTCTAAAATGTATATATATATATATATATATATATATATATATATATATATATATATATATACTTTATATGTCAGTTCGTTAATGTCTGTGTCACGTTTTACGTTTTGGTAAGTCATATATATATATATATATATATATATATATATATATAATATATATATATATATATATATATATATATATTATATATATATATATATACATTTTAGAATCCTGACAAAGGCAAGGGTTTCCTGCCGAAATGTTGATTGATTGCAATGGAAAATAAAATCTAGTTCCACATGTAACATATTATCTTTATTGAACCTAAACTCAAGAAACATTAATTAATTTTATATTATATCTATATATATATATATATATATATATATATATATATATATATATATATACAAGATTTACAAATTCCAAAAAGTGCTTGGCTACGGCTTTAATTAATTGAGACGACGAATATATCAAAATTAACGGTGAAAGGAACACGATTTGTCTAATTTTCTCTTTGAATTGGTATTTGGCTTTGCAAAGCCATAGCAAGACGGTTAAAAAATTATGAAGATCTGATAAATAGAGAAAGCAGAGCTGCGAAAAATTATAAACACAATTTTAAGGTGAAGAACTTAAAAACTCTTTAATTTAAAACTTATGCAATCCCATATTAATACCAACAAGAGGGGAATCAAGAAATAGAAAAGATGTTAAGGGATCAGATTATCGAGAGTTGTGATTCCTTATATGTAAATCCAATTGTGGTAGTTGAAAGAAAAACAGTGGAGATTTGCGTTTATGTTTGGATGCCAGAAATATGAATCAGCATACGGTATCACAGTATGAGTCACCTTTAAACATCAAGGCTGTATTTTCCCTCCAGACGTTTATAGTAATTTAGAGCACATACAAATTTTACGAAAAGAATTAGATTTATTCGGTCTCAAACATGGACAAATGCCAATTTTTCTAAAAGGATATACCAGTGGAGAAGACAGGATTTAGATCATAAATGATTATTCTCGGCAAAAAAGTTTTAAAAACATAACATTTTTCTCTGCATGGCCAACTATTTTAAAAAATTATTTCCTGGCATTAGCCAAAAAAATATCATTATTTAAATTGTTGAAAAAATGAAGTACATGGAAGTTAAAAGAGGAACTGCAGTAGTACTATCGAAAATACAAAATTGCCAAAAATTTCCGTTTCGAGAGTCACGAAAATACATAAAATATAATAATATAGTCTAACGGAGTTGGGATTTGTGAGCGCTTTCTTTTGTGTTAGCAAATTACGCTTTTATCCTCTTTAAGCTACGTTTATAATAGGAAAAAATCATTCCTATTTAGTACACACATCATGAAAAATCGAGAAAAATAATAGGATATATAGAGAAATACTGTTACTTCAGAAATACAATTTGCAATTCAAGTATATATGTTATGGACCATATGATTAATTGGTCATTTTTCATAATGCCCGGCTATATAAAAAATGCCCAATACTGTTTGATACAATCAAGTATGTAGTAAAAACTAAAATATTTCTTATATCCTAATGAAAACAGTCTTGCAGTCTTCTGTGAAATGGCACATGAGTACATTTAATGAATAAGTATACGTAAAAAATATAATAGGTATTAACGGTAATTGAGGAAACCAAAAAAAGAATTCTGTTTTTATTTGCATTTTTTTCTAATGACCAAAATTGATGGTAACACACAAAGCGGCCAGTGAGAAATTAAATCGTTTTTCTTCTAAATCAAACTCAATTTTAAATAAAAATACACTTACCACCTTTGCGTGCTACATCATCGAAATTTATTTTGTATGAATGATTTATAATACATAACTATTTGTTGAAACATATTCCACTATGGTGACACTTGGAGTTACATATTTTTTTTCTTTACGACACTCACGCTTATCGGATTTACACCCACCTTTACAACCGCACCTACTGTATCCTTGTCCCCCACAGTTAGAAGATTTTCTTGCGCATTCTCTAAGAGATATCTCAGTGTCTGGAATCTCTTCTAGGGAGATAAACTTTTCTTTACAAACGGTAAACTGGTTTCTTGAATATAACTGATTTAGTATGCCATATTTTGTGCCTAGTTTGTAAAGCTTTATTTCAGTTATCTCTGTCACGATAGCTAGTAGATTTCTTTGATCACTACGAGCTCGGTCCACATCTGGCACTCGTATACTAACTGTGTTACCTAGTTTAGCCGATGGATATTTGGAATTGGAAAATTTTAACATCTTCTCGGCTTGTTGTTCTAGATTCGTCAAAGCCAATTTTCTTTTCTTCCTTACATCTTTTATTCTAATATCTATATTGGAATCCAGATTTTCATTATTTTCTAAATTAACTATAAACGCCGTTTCTACCGCATTTGTTAAAAATTCTGGAACTTGACTAGATTAACGAGATGAATTTTCATCAATTAAAATTGCTCCAATTTTTTGAATGTCAGGGTGTAGCCACATGATATGGAACTTTCGGGCAACATTATTGAAGAGTCCACATTTATATTATTATTTTGTATTATATCCGGTTCTGTAGATAGCCCAGCCTCTTGATTTTTGAACAGGACCTCTAAGTCTTCCTCGAATTAACATCAGTCAGAACTTCTTGGGTAGAGAGCTTTTTAAACCAACTTTCAACTTTGTGCCGAACATGGCTTCATATGGACTACAACCTATACCAGTGTGATGAGCTCTATTTTTCATTAGTTGAACAAAACGTAAGCCTTCAGACCATTTGTTTGTATTGTTGTCTTCTAACCACGAACTAAGCATATTCTCTACGTCTTGATTGGCCCTTTCTATAGATCCTTGACTCTGAGAATGCCTGGGTTTGCCATGTACCATTTTTAACTCGGGCCACATGCTACACAGCTCTTTGATAATATGGTTAGCGAATTCTCTGCCATTATCACTATGAAGCACACTCGGCGCCCCAAATATTGTGAAAATATCCAAAAGTACATGCGATACTTCTTCTGCTCTTTTACTTGTAAGAGGTCGAAGTTGGACAAATTTGGTAAGATGGTCTTGATAAACAAGCACAAATTTATAACAGCCATCGGCTTGTGACTGCATATCGATTAAATCGACTTGGCATCTTGAATTCATTTCCTTGCTCAATATTGGTTTCACCACCAAGCCTTTCTTTGGAACATTATGTTTTTTCTGACAGGTCATGCATAAATTTAAATAGATAACAATCATCTCCCTTGTAATATTTTTAAATTTAGAATGTACTTCCTTCTCCATTCGGTTTCTACCACCATGCCCGATAGTAATATGAAGATCGCGCAATGTATCAAATATTTCTTCTGCATGGACGTAGTATTTAATTACGTTATCTTCTTTCACAGGAACAATCAATTTTTCTACTTCTCTAATCGTCATAACGTCGAATCTTCGTAAGCGCTGATAATCACTCGGCGTTTTATTTGTCTGTTTACTTTTAGAGTTTTTTACCTTCTGTATCATTTCCATGTAGGCTGTTTTTGTGAAAATTTGTGAATTTTGACTTTTTGCTGAAATTAATTTAGTTAACCAATTGTTAAATCGATTTTTCATATCACTTAATGGTTCTTCTTTTTCCATAGTTCACTATGCAACACTTTATAAACAAAGAATTAACAAAGAAATGTCACAAACAAACCACTTGTCGTATATACCATTACTAACATTCAACTGCAATATGATTTATAAATAATGGCCGACGCGCTTCGGTGACTGTAACCTTGGATACAGCGCGTTGATTCGCTGCTGAAGATCGCATGATTTACTAAGAACGCCGATTTATCACATTGCCCGGCCATAGTATAGCATTTTTCATAATGACCAGACAATATGATAAATTGTAAAAAGTTATCAAATTGCCCGCTGAAGTTAGTCATTATTAATAATGACCAGGCATTATACATAATGGCTAACATAATCACTTTGTCCATAACATATATAAGGGAAAAATAACATAATTGCGGATGTTCTTACTTGAGATGAGCATTTTTGAAAGACAGCCGCTCTAACGTTAAGCGTAGAAATGAATATACTCTCTGGAGAAAGATATTTTCCTTGAATGGAAAACATCAACATCAGGAAATATTAGAAGACAACGAGAAAAGAACAGCTAATAGAGAAATTGGCTGAAATTTTAAGACAATTGAAGGTAAGGAGTTGTATCTAATTACAGAGACATTGGCAGAAAAACTGGCATTGGCAGCAGAAAAGATTGGTTAGTATTTAGAGAAAATTATATCTGTATCCAACCTGTAAACGATGTATCCACTGCGCTTGATGATTCTCGTACTCAATTCACAATTTTATGTGGCGATTTCAACGCAAAAATAGGGTAAAAGAAGCAGATCTAGAAACATCTTTAGGACAATTCGGTTCCCCAGGAAGAAATGATCGAGGAAAAAAGTTACTAGTATTCCTACTCCAGAATAACTTATTCAACATGAACAGCTTTTTTTACAAAAAGATGCACAGAAGATGGACTTGGGAGAGTCCAAACGGTAGAACAAGGAACGAAATCCACTACATCATAAATGATCAAAAACAAATAATTAAAGATGTAACAGTAATCAACAAGTTCACCACAAACAGCGACCACAGGATGATACGAGCGAAAGTTCAAATCAATATAAAAAGAGAAAGGAATATAATGATTAAAAATAAATTTCATGGTATCTGGACACCCCCATTAGATATCAACCAATATCAGACACATATCAATAATGAGCTTCTATTGCAGGAAACCTCCGCTAACGATATTAACGACTTGAATAACTGCATCATAAACGCCTTACAAGAAAGTCACCGAGTGCACTGTCCTAACAGAAAATCAGATAGTAAAATAAGTCCATATACTGAAACGCTCTTGGATTAAAGAAGACAAATGAGAAGCGATAATAATGTAGATAGCAACACTTTAGGAAAAATGAACAAAACTGTTTCGAAAGCAATTAGGAGAGATTTAAGGAAATTTAATACCGATTATATTAAACGCACTATAGAGGAAAATAACAGCCTAAAAGTTCTACGTAGAAAGCTAACGAATGGGAAATGCGAAATTCATAAATTAAGAAACAAGCAAAATGAAATAATATCACGTAGAGACGAGTTAATACAGGTCGTCGAAGAGTTTTACGAGGACTTATATAGAAGTAGACAAGAAGATAAAAGAGGAATACAAACAGCCATTTTAAAGAAAATCAAGAATCAAGGTTCCGAACTAATGCCAGAGATAAAGCTAGATGAGGTTCGACAAGCATTAAGAAAAATGAAAAATAACAAAGCCCCAGGAGAGGATGGAATCGTAATAGAAGCTATCGTAAATGGAGGAGATATGCTATTAAATAAATTAAGAAAACTACTCAATCTATGTTTGCAGCAAAGAGAGGTCCCCAAAGAGTGGAACAATGCTACAACCATCCTTTTGCATAAAAAAGGAGATAGAACGGACCTAGAAAATTATAGACCTATTAGCCTGTTAAACCACATATACGAGCTCTTCACTAGGGTAGTGACATCAAGATTGGAGAAAAAATTAGATTTCTACCAACCGAGAGAGCAGGCAGGATTCCGCTCAAATTATGGTACCAATGATCACCTTCACACAGTAAAGACACTTATTGAAAAATCTATAGAATATAACAAACCTCTTGTTCTCACTTTCATAGATTTTCATAAAACGTTCGACACGATCGAATTAGACAGCCTTATAGAAGCAATGAATGACAGCAGGATTGACCATAGCTATAGTGATAGCTTATTTATAATATTTACAAAAATGCCACTATGACTGTTAAAATAGACAATAAAACCCGACCAATAAAAATAAATCGTGGAATAAGGCAAGGAGATACATTGTCGCCGAAATTATTCATAACGGCATTAGAATATGCCTTTAAGATGATCAATTGGGACCACAGAGGAGTAACGATAGACGGCGAAAAGCTTAACCATCTCCGTTTTGCAGATGACATTGTCCTTATCACAGATAATTTAGGAGAAGCTACAGATATGTTAAACGAATTGGATTTTGCATGTTCGAAGGTGGGCCTGAGAATGAACTTGACCAAAACTAAGTTTATGACAAATTTGGTCCTCAATAACCATTTGACTATTCAAGAGAAAGTGGTAGACTGGTGGAGAAATATACGTATTTGGGTCATGAAATAAGAATCAGCAGGGATAACCAAACATGTGAGATCCAAAGACGAATTACTTTAACATGGGCAGCCTTTGGAAAACTGCGAGACACACTTAGGGCCAACATACCAATCAGCCTCAAAAGAAAAGTGTTTGACCAATGCGTATTACCGGTCATGACCTATGGGGCCGAAACTATGACTTTAACCAAGACCACGGCTTCGAAACAGAGTGGCACAGAGACGAATGGAACGTTCTATGCTGGGAGTGACGTTGAGGGACCGAATAAGAAACGAAGATCTGCGAAGAAGGACGAGTATTACTGATGTTGTGGAACGCATAGCGGAACTAAAATGGAACTGGGCGGGTCATGTAGCGAGAATGCATGATTCACGATGGACGAGCAAAATTACAAATTGGAGGCCGAGAGCAGACAAACGCAGTAGAGGAAGACCATCTACACGTTGGGCCACGACATCAGGCGTATCACTAAAAATTGGCAACAAAGAGCACAAAATCGTGATGAATGGAGGAGTTTAAGGGAGGCCTATGTCCAGCAGTGGACGTGATAAATAGAGGCTGGATGATGATGATGATGATGATACTCACAAATACAACAGAAGAAGTATATAGTATATAATTATGAAATTATACCAAGTCTTTCTAGCAAACAAGTTACAGCTAACCTAGGAAGTTACAACTAAACTAGGAACAAATTGCATTTAAGTTTATTCCATAAAATTTATTTACCATTTTGTACCAGAAATGTTGCTAAACAGGACGTTCCTCCAATAATCATGCTAATACATAATGTCCATCTTCGACCAAGCCTTTCCATTGCAGGCCATAAGAATAAATAAGTTGGAAGTTCAACGGCTCCAGCAAGAAAAAAGTTTAAATATTCATCTCCACCTAAAATAAAACGATTTATTATGATTAAACTTACTAAAATAAATTATTATAATGAGATAATTAAACTAAAGTCTATTCCATGAATATACTGCTTTGGATTATCACGATAACGAATATGTTACTGTGCAACATACGAAGTACGACAGTAAATTGCTCTAATATTTTAATAAAAAGGATCTACTGTCATTTTGGCATATAATTTTAAAAAAATTAATAAATTAACATAATTTAGTACTGATTCTAATTTCAAAGCGTGTGTTTGTGTATTGAAGCCAAAAATGGCGAGACGTATGTTAGATGTAGACAACTTTATATTTAATCTAGGTACATGCTTGTTTTACTGCCAAGAAAATCAATGGGGCCTTTTGCTACCATTTAATTCTGTTCTCAAGCGTGTGAGTAATGCACTCTGTATTAGTAAAACAAAACAAAAATCAGCTTTACAAAAAGCAAATGAACAAAATGTCGCACTATATAAACCTCGCCGATACTCAAAGACTGTAGATATTCTCGAAGGTTTGTACATTTGAAAACCGTGAGACTATGTATACATAAATTACGTGAAAAGAAAGATCGTGTTTCTTTAAATTCAGTGTTTAGTTTACAAAAATAAAAAAAAAGAAATGTGTTTTAAAATTTCCTGAAAAGTCTCTGATGAGTTTTGAGACCAATTGGAAATTTAATGTCCTTAATATTTTACCTAACTGAAACTGATTGCATTCACAAGGTATTTTATAAATATTATTTCTTTGTTCTTTCTTGTTCATTGTTAGATTTATTTTTAGATAAAGTAAATCTCAATTTTTTTGTAGTTTTAAATGCTGTTTAAATGTTGAATATATTTCATATGTATCTTTTACAGTTTCTGATAATGCGTTTATGTATGGTACTGTTATTTTCGTAGATCCTATTCCTTGTGTATGCTGTAGAATCCTGTTCTAAGTTGTTTAAATTATCGTTGTAAGTTTCTAGTCGATTGTTGAAAATTCCTTATTTGTAGTCGAAACATGATAATCAGTTTTTAATAAAAGAGAGGTTAACAAATGTTTTTCCTCTAAGAACGAATTTTCGTTAGAATAAGTAATTTTGGCTCTATCGTATAAGGATTTATTGATTCTCTTTTTAATATTGCTTTTTACATTTGATTTGTAATACACTAATAGAGAGAGAATTCATTCTCTCTCCTGTTGCCGATAAGAATGTAGAGCGTAGAATAATTTTAAATAATTTTAAACTGTTTGTTCTTGTTTTAGTGTAGTGTTATGTACAATTTCATGTTTATTACATTATGCACTTACCGGATAGCCCAAATTTGACGAAATGCCTTGATGATGCTGTAAAAAGCGAGAGTACTTGGGCAAGATTTGATTATTAAAATTGTGCTCGATATTTGCCTTTAATTTTGCACAGTTTAAAAAAAAACTATTAACGGCAATAGGCAAGCTGAGGAGAAAATTCTTCCCCTAGGTATTTTACAATAGAAACATACATAAGTAATATGTATAATTTATGTACAATAACATAGTGAGAAGCCGCCCAGTGGTTAGCACTCAGGTAAGACATATAATATTATAAATTTAATCTATGATATATACCAACTAATTTAAATTTCAACTAAACAAACAAAGTTTAATACAAACAAACAAAGTTTAATACAGATAAACAACACTGACACACATATGAGTATTACAAGACTACAAAAAAATCGAGAAAAGATTTAGAAAACACCAGAATAGAAACTTGCTATTTCACCGCACTAAAACACTATGCTCTGTCTCTCCAGATTTACTAGAGGTCCAAAGAGTCTGGTCGTTTTAACCTAACGTGGGATATGTTGTGCAGATCCGTGGCCAGCGGATTCGGATGACAGGATAGTCTGGTCTTGTATACAGAGTTTACAGCAGATATTGCTTTGCTAACTATTGGTAACTGTAGATCGTGATGTAATCTGTGGTTCGTAATATAGCAAGGGCCTTGTAGATCTTGTTTTAAAATACATTTATATATTAGAAGTTTGTTTTCAAGGCTAAAATTTGATTTTCGACTCACGTACCAATACATTTTTCTCAAGATTCAGATAAGTTAAAAGCGTTTCTTCCAGATGTGGATATCCCAATTAAGTTTCCTATCCAACTGAATTCTCAAGTATTGTTCACAGAAACTGGTGGTGCGACACCATTTTTTAAAGTAAACGTTATTTGTGTTTATTTTAAACTTATTGACTTGGACCCGCCACAGTTTAAGCCAGCTCTCTAGTTTAAGTGGGTGATTTTGTAATACCTGAGATGCTTCAGTTGCTGTAGAATCTGAAGCCATGATAACTGTGTCATCGGCATGTGTAACGATTGTTGTATTGGTCGTCGTTGGGATATCTGATGTGTATATTAAGTAAAGTGGGTCCCAGTATGCTTCCTTGTGGAACTCCGGAACAAATTGGAAACAGGTTAGTGATTTCCCTACCTTTTTTGACTTAAACGAATTGATTTGTTAGGTAGCATCCTAAAAGTGAACTTATGGGTTACAGTACACTAATTTTTGTGTTCGACAGAATTTCTGATAGTCTTTACTGTCCTATGAATTTGTTTGATGGTACCATGTTGTTTACTAAAGCCAAACTGATAATTCGGTAAAACATTGCTGTCATTTGTATTTAGAAGGTTAAAAATATTTTAAAATAAAAATTAATGGACTAAACCTTGATTGCTTAAACAACTTTTTATACTTAATGTTAATTTTTTAATTACGTTATACAACCAATCACTGGTAATTTTTTCTTAGTGATTCCTTTCCTTTCTGTAGGTCCTTCTCCTATCGGAGGTTGGCTATAATCATAGCTATAACTTATCGGCAGGTGCTCTAAAAAATCTACTGAGCTGCAACTATACAATCCTCTTAGGTTTCTCAGCCAGTAAATTCTTTCCTTGCATCATGAGCCTTAATATCTCATATTTCGCACCTAAAGGCATTTTGTGGCCTAAATATTCTAGCTTTATTGTTTTAATGTGCTTTATATATGACCTTGCAATCCTTTTGTAACCTTCTTAACACTTCTGCATTTGTATCTCGTTGGGTCCATGGTATTTTCAAAATCCTTCTATAGCACCAAATCTCAAATGATTCCAACTTCTTTATACTATCTACTTTTAGTGTCCAGCTTTTCATTACATACAACAAAGTCGAGACCACGTAGCATCTTAAGGCTCTTATCCTCAGATCCAGAGGAAGGTCTCGATTGACAAACATTGTTTTTATTTTTATAAATGCTTGTCTTGCAATTTTAATGCGTGTCTTTATTTCTCTACCTTGGTCATTGTTTTCATTTACCCAGGTTCTCAGATATTTGTAGTTATTCACTTTTTCTACTTGTTTTGTAGTATGTACTTAATATTCATTTGCAGTCCATATTTGATACTGACTTGATGTAATCTCTTTACTGAGCGTTGAACTGCTTCTAGACTGTCTGCAAAAACAGCGGTGTCGTCTGCGAATCTTATGTTCTTCTTCTTAGAGTGCCGTCTCCCTACGGAGGTTGGCAATCATAATAGCTATTTTTATTTTAGAACTTGCTGCTCTAAACAAATCAATCGATCTGCATTGGTACCAATCACGTAGATTCTTTAACCATGAGTTCTGCATTCGGCCAACAGATCTTCTTCCTTGAATCTTTCCCTGTATTATCAGTCTCAAAATTTCATATTTTGGTCCCCTCATCACGTGGCCTAGGTATTCCAGTTTTCTGGTTTGTATAGTGGTGATTAGTTCTGTTTCTTTACCAACCCTCTCCAGTACTTCTTTATTTGTAATTCTATCAGTCCATGATATTTTCAATAATCTGCGGTATAATCAGAGTTCGAAGGCCTTGATTCTTTTTAAATTACATTTTTTTAATGTCCAAGTATCAGCTCCATAGAATAATATTGAAAAATATATAACAGCGAATGGTACGTAGTCTGATCTCCAAATTTAGATTTTTGCACGTTAGGAGTGGCTTCATTCGTATAAATGCTGATCTGGCAATCTCTATTCGCCTGTTTATTTCTACAGTATGATCATTGGTTTCATTGGTCAAAGTTCCCAAATACTGATATTTTTTTACTTGTTCTATCACGTTACCATTTATTGTCAATAGGTGATGTATATTTTGTGGCCTTTTTGTAATCAGCATGTTCTTCGCTTTTTAAGGGTTTATAGTAATTCCCATCTCAGCACTATTTATATTCAAGCTTTCGATAAGATGTTGTAGATCCTCTATGCTCGTTGCTATGATCACAGTGTCGTCTGCATATCTTAAATTATTAATTAATTTTCCGTTAACGGTGACTCCCGCTTCGATATTATTGAGCGTGTTTTGAAAAATAAATATTCTCTGTCTTTTAAGAAGCAACACTAAAATAGAAGATACTTTCGATATGGTCGCTATTGCGTCCATATTGAAGCCATTTTAGTGTTATTTTTCACGTTGAGAACGCCTATGAATATCTGTTCTGATGAGACCTATTAGGTCAAAATACGTATCAAAAAATACATAGATGCTTTAGGCGTGAAATCAAATATTTGCTGTCTTTTTCATTTTATTCGGATCTACTCTGTACAAGTACAAGAAACCAATTCGCTTAGGATTTCTGCTTAGTTGAGGAGACACGTCGTGGAATGCAAATTTTAGATTCCCCATGCTACATTTAATACCTTTATCAACGTCTGTTATACCTTGCAATTTTAGAAGATTCAGATAAAGCAGAAATCTGAATTGTGTTTCGAAACTATTTTACGGATTTATTATCAGATGTCGCTATTGCGTCCATATCGAAGCCATTTTAGTGTTGCTTCTTAAAAGACAGAGAATATTTATTTTTCACGTTGAGAACGCCTATAAATAACTGTTCTGATGAGACCTATTAGGTCGAGATGCGTATCAACAGATACATAGACACTTTAGGCGTGAAATAAAATATTTGCTGTCTGTTTCAGTTTAGATCTAAAAGTATATGCAGTGTTTCTTCGTCAATGCATTTAATTAGCTCAGTGTGTATCTGATCTGGGCCTACTGATTTTGCGGTCTTTGTATTTCTAATTTAATGTTCTAATTCACACATTAATATTTTCGGTCCGGTTTGTTCCTGTGGTTCTTTTTGTATTAGTCGATCATCGTCGAATAGTTTCATTATGTATTCTTGCCAAAATCTTAGTTTATTTCTGATGTGTGCAATGAGTTTACTATTATCATCTTTGAGTATTCCATAGTGTGCTCGCTTTTTGGTATTTGTTAGTTCTTTTACTTTTTTATGCATATTAAAACTGTTGTATTTTCTGTCATACTCTTCTATTTCTATGCACTGATCTGTTAACCACTTTTCCTTGGGCTTTTTTATCTCTATTTTAATTCTACTTTGTAGTTCTTGATATTTTGGCTCATTTTTCCCTTTGGCTTTTCTCCTCTCTTCCATTAATGCTAGAATTTCTGAAGTCATCCACTTCTGTTTTTTAGGTGTGTTTTCAGGCTTTAAATTTTTTTCTGTAGCCTTTAGTAATACCTGCTGAATATTGCTTTACTTTTCATTGACATCTTCTGATGTTAAGATTTCTTCTCCCTCTTTTGTTAGATTTTAGTTGACTTGTTGGATCACTTTTTGATGTATTTATAGTCAGAATTGACATCTGCTCGAAGGTATACTTTTACTGCTTAAATTGAATGATTCATTATACAATAAATGAAAAAATAATATACTGCTTACTTCGACAAATCAATTACTTGTTAGGTTCTTGGATTTAAAAAATATTCCGCAAGTTTATACTAATATCTTAAAAAAATGCTTTATCATAAACTTACCCAAAGTAGGAGCATAGTAAGATAATCCCACATAAACACTAGTGTTGGTAAACCATAAGAATGTTATAATAATTGTTTTCCATCTCAAATTTTTTGATCTGAATAAATCTTTGATTCCATATCTAATTTTTGATTTACAATTTATTTTTTGATGAGTTCTTTGTGTCCTGAAATTGGCTATGAGATCCTTAGGTACTTGTTTTTTATTAACTCTATAAAAAAATATATCAAATTTTCTATTTTTGCTATATGTATAGAATAGATCTTATCTATATTTAATAGTAACCGAAGTCAAATTAAAAAAAAAACGTCTTATGGAGAAGACAAGGTAAGGTTTATTATCTTAATTAGAGGAAAAACCATGAAGTTTTAATGATTACTACTGCTTAATAGTATAATATAGTAGTATAGTAATAATAAGTAGTATAATAATATATTGTTTAAACAAAAATAATATATACAATGTAATAATTCGTTGTTTAAACCATACCATACCAAAAAATAATATATATACATCGCTTTAGAACATCTTTCGACGTTGTCGGGTACCTAAACATACTCTTTCTATCTTCGCGGTCGTTTGTTGTTAAATTTCTTTCGCTCATGGACCTGTTTACGCCGTGTTGCCATTCTAATTTGGGTCTTCCTCTTTTCCATCGACCTATCGGTTGCCATTCTAATACTTTTTTGGGGAGTCTTGTTGCTGGCATCCGTTGAACATGCCCATATCACCTTAATTGTTTCTTTTCTATATCTTGAGTTATATTTTCTTCTATTTCCATACGTTGTTTTATTATATCATTTCTGATTCGGTCTCGTCTGAAAATACCTAAAGATCTTCTCAGTGCATCCATCTCTACTGTTTCATTCGCTTTTTGTTCTTTTCACTAATTCTCCATATTTCTCCATCCTAAGACTTTCTTTGGTTGTGTGATTTGTTTTTCTATTTCTCATGTATCAGTTCCTGTATTGTCAAAGGCAACACTCAAATAGTTATAGCTCTGACAGCTGGAAATATGTTGTCCATTTTCGAGGTCTATATTATCTGACTCGTTTCCAATACAAAGATATTTGGTTTTTGCTGTATAAACATTCATTCCCTAGTCGTTATATTCTTCTATCAGTTTTCTAAGCATGTACTGCATGTCTTCTCTGTCAGTCGCTAGTACTACCTGGTCATCAGAAAACTGGAGTGTATATATACGTTCATTGCTAAGCTCTATACACATCCTATGCACCTTTCTTTTCCATCTTTCCAATGCTGCTGCAACATATATCTTGAAAAAGTTTGGTGAGATACAGCATCCCTGTCGCAAGCCTTTTGTAACCAGGAATTCTTCCGTTAGATATTTTTCTGTTTTTATCTGTGACTTTGAGTCTCTATATAGTTCTTGTACCGTATTTATCAATGTGTGGTTGATGCTAGATCTTTTCAACGTTGTCCACAATTTTGTTAAAGGGATGTTGTCATATGCTTTTTTAAGGTCTACAAAAGTAATATGAGTTTCTAGATTCTTAGCCGATCTATTTTCTATTATCTGTTTAAGATAAAATACGTTAGTGGTGCACGATCTTCCTGCACGGAACCCGCTTTGTTCGTCCTCTTCATTGTGCTTATATTCTTTCTATATAGTCTGCTCAAGGTGCTGGTTACCGATATGCCTCTATAATTATTACAATTCCTTTTGTCCCCTTTTTGTGTATTGAGGACATGTATGTTGTTCTCCATTGTTCTGGTCCTTGGTGTCCATTTAGACACTGACTGATCACATAAGTTAAGGTTTCAAATAGTTTATGAGTTCCATTCTTAAGCATTTCAGCATAGATTCCCTCAGATCCAGCGGATTTACCATTATTTAGGGTTATTACACTTATATTTACCCTCGCTTCCTCTCCTTGTATATGTACTGACTGTGTTGGGGAGTTCGCTAGGTTTTCTTGTCTTGTCTCTGTCAACAATAAACACTTCTAGTGTATGATGATATTATATTTTATTAAAAATATTTAAAATTTATTCAAAAGGATTAAAAATTTTCAAAACGTTTTCGATCCAGTCAGATCATTATCAGTGAAACCTAGAAGTATATTTCCACTTTAAAATTAAATAAACATAAGGTGAAATTTTCACTCTTAAATGTGCAAAATACTTACATTTTAAAAGTCGTTAAAACTAGCTACAAAAGTAGGTCTGAAAACTTTTGGACTACATGACAAGCATTTTCCACATGTTTAATAATTTAGTATTTATCTAGCAAAAGTTGCCACAGCAAAAATGACCAAAATATGGAAGGACTGTCAAATTTCAAGAGCGATAAAGATGAGGTTGATCAACTGCTTAATATTCCCAATACTGACCTACGGATGTGAATCTTGGACTCTGAGACAATCGGAGAGAAGAAAGATAGACGCCACTGAAATGTTCTGTTGGAGACGAATGTTACGAATTCCTTGGACCGACCGCAGAATAAATAATTCAATTTTAAGAGAGCTAAAAGTTAGCCAACGACTCTCTAGTAAAGTCCATCTCCAACAATTAAAACAATTAAAATATTTTGGGCATGTTATGAGAGCAAACACAGAAAACATGGAAAGACTCATAATACAAGGAAAGGTAGAAGGCCGAAGATCACGAGGAAGATCCCCAACAAGATGGATAGATCAAATTACAGGAATATGCCAAAGACCTATGCATGAATTAAAAGAAATGACCAGAGACAGAGATCTCCGGAGACGGACAATACACGACATCACGTCGACCACTACACTCCCCCTGGGGTCAGGATTAAAGAGAGAGAGAATAATTTAACAGTCAAAATTTTATGTTATGTTTGTGTCATTTTAAAGTGAAAATATGAATACTTCTAGACTTCACTGAGGATGGTCCGACTACATTGACAACGTTTTGAAGATTAGTAATAATTTTGGATAAATTTTAAATTTTTTCATATTTTTATATGAAGATTACCACGTATGCGAAATTTTATTAAGATAAAATAATTTATAATGAGCGTTCGACTTTTTATGTCACCTAATTACCGAAGTCATATAATTATATAATCCTATTTACCTTGCCATCTTTTGTAAAATACTTTCTGCCCTTTCATAACTTCCTTGTGCTAGTAGCCATCTTGGACTTTCTGGTAAAAGTGGCCAGGAAAAGAATAACGCTAAAAAGGGCAGTGTTGTTGCAAGAGCCATTACTCTCCATTGCCTTATGGCCCATACGATTATTGCTAACGATATTAAAGACAACGAATAAGCAATATTAATGAGAATGGTTACCAATGTTCTATCGCTGGGTCCGACCAATTCTATAGCTTAGAAAAAAAAACTTAAATTCAAATTATATGTAAAAAATCCACTAGGAAACTAAGTTCCTGTAGTTGGCTGTATACCATATATCACAAAAAAATTATTTCAAATCCTTTATAAAAGGTATATAATAAAATGCAAAAACGGGCTATCACAATTACATTACAGAACGTTTTCGGATTGTTAAAACCATCATCAGTGTAAACCTGAAAGTAAATAACCACTTTAATTAAAAAGAACGTTGAATTTAAAATGGTGACTAAGGTTAAAGCAAAATGTGGTTAATACTTACGGGGTATATATGCTATGAGCTACCAAAATATATAAGTCAAAACCCTTTAAATGTTATAAATTTACAGTTGTTTTACATTATATATAGTTACAAATTAGGATGTTTAAGTTACCGTTGGAATTGGTAAAATGGACGCCATATTATAAATTTTTCAAGATACGGGCTGTTAAAATTTTTCTTACAAACTAACGATTTATTTATTACTCTGAAACCGGTTAAGATATAATTATAGTATACAGTGATAATGGTCGCAATTTTCATTTTAATGAACCGAACTTCTACTCTCGCACAAACACTCCTTCTTCTACAATTTCCACTCCTATCTTCTTCTTCTTCTTCAAGTTCCACTCCTATCGGAGATTGGAAATCATTCTGGCAATTATAATTTTATTGGTTACTCGCCTGAATAGTTCAATTGAACTGCATCCAAACCACTCACGGAGATTGCGTAGCCACGAGATTTTACGTCTTCCTACGCTTCTTCTACCTTTGATTTTACCCTGCATTATATTCCTTAGTAGTTCGTACTTTTCACCTCTCATGATGTGCCCCAAGTATTGCAATTTCCTGATCTTTATGGAACTTAAAACTTCGCATTGTTTTCCTAGTTGTTCGAGAACTTGTTCATTTGTTTTGCGATCCATCCATGATATTTTCAAAATGCGTCGATAACACCACATTTCGAATGCTTCTAGGTTTTTAATGTTGGATTTTTTAAGTGTCCAAGCTTCAACTCCATACAAAAGGGTAGAGAAAATATAACATCGAAGTATTCTTATCCGGAGCGATATATTGATATCGCGATTACAAAAAAGTTTTCTCATTCTATTAAAAGTTGACCGCGCAATTTCAATGCGGCATCTTATTTCTTTTGTCTGATCAGTATCTTCTGTGATCCATGCTCCAAGGTATTTGTACGAAGATATTTATTCAATTTCTGTATTATCTAGTACTAGCTTAACTTTGATGTTTTGTGCTGTTGTAAATACCATGAACTTGGTTTTCTTCAAATTGATTTTTAGTCCATAATCGTTGCAATATATATTTAGTTGTTCTGCAAGGTGTTGCAGTTCTTCTAGTGTTCCTGCCAAAAGGACGGTGTCGTCAGCATATCTTATGTTATTAAGTGGCTCACCGTTTATTATCCTCACTGATCTCGGCAAACGCTAATTCTGAGATGGCTTCACTGTATAAATTGAATAACAAGGGTGATAAAATACACCCTTGGCGGACCCCACGGCGAATCTCGATATCCTTGGTCAGTTCGTTTTCAACTTTCACTTTTGCTGTTTGATTCCAATAGAGGTTACAGATGATTCTAATGTCTCTACTGTCTATGTTTTTATTTAATAAAATTTCTTTAAGTCGATTATGCTGCACTCTGTCAAATGCCTTCTCAAAATCAATGAAACAGGCATATACTTCCTGATTAATATCTAAGCATCTCTGCGAAAGAACACTTACTGCAAACAGTGCATCTCGTGTTCCCAGACCTTTCCTAAATCCCATTTGTGTATTACTTATGCCTTCATCTAATTTCTTATGTATTCTATTGTGAATTACTTTTAAAAACAATTTCAAGACATGACTCATTAAGGCTATGGTGCGATGTTCATTGCACTCCTTTGCATTGGCTTTTTTGGGAAGCAGTATGAATGTT